GTGTGCAAAATAATGTTGGCTATCACTGTATCAAAGATCAACCATAATCTGCAACACATTCAAGGAAGCATTTTCTTTGTATTCAAAGAAAGTATTTGATCTGGCGGTATGCATTTATGATATGGCCAGCTGAACAATTGACGTGCCCTGGCATGTGTTTATGACGTTTATGCCACCGATGGGGCAGGACTACGTTCAGCTTCCTACGAAAACCTGGTATCATCACTATTTAATAGTGAGTCAAAAAACAACCATGATATAGTCGGAATCGTATATTTCTCTGCAGTGACTTCTTATGGGCGTGGAAAGCATTTTGCTGCTTTTATTTCGAGGGCTCTCTAATTATCACCCGAACATAATGGCGCTTTCTAGCTTGAGCTCCGTAATAAACAATTCGTAAGACTCCTATATACAACACTGTAACTGTTTCTCTACACCACCTATTTGCTGTAAACGTGTTTGGTGTTAAGTTACCCGGGCTGCATGGGGCATCTCGACAGCTGCACTGATTCCCTGACCTAATACCATCGAGTTCTGATGCTGAACTTATACATTGACAATGGCCGTGTGTTGGGAAGTCGTGGCCTTCATTCATTGTCGCCAACAACAACCACCCACGTGTTCACATGAATGGCATCAAGCAGTCTGGTTCATCGGGTTATAATCAGCCAGCGGGGGCATTGTCAGTGTTAAAGAAACTATTGTTGGAGAGAAGCTTGGCCCGAGTGTAACATCAATATCGTAAGCACCAAAGCTGCTGATGCGTCAAAAAACAATCATGACCCACTGTAAAACATCCTTTTTATCGTATAAAGGTTTCACAGTATGGGGGATTGTGAGGAGAGTAGCACAATTATTTTTGTAGCATTTGTAAACATTATCTCCTCTGAAGCATCGTTTCCGGGTAAGCAGTTGGAGGTGGGTTATTAAGTGTACAGATCATATCTCATCGCTGTGTTATAAACATAACTATAAGACATGCTTGTGTTATGACATTGTTCTGCCATGCATGATTTGTGAGACTGTATGCATGTATGATATGGTTTTGAAATGCATGATTTGTGAAACGGTATGCATTGGTGATATGGTTGTGAAATGCATGATTTCTTAAGTGGTATGCATTGATGACATGATTGTGACATACATGACTTGAAAGATAGTTTGCTCCGCTCAGCGTTCTACAGCCACCCTTCACAAATTGCCATATTGCCAGCATACGTCAATGGATCACAGAACGTCGAAAGGGTAATCGTCGTTGGTCACGTATCCCCCGAGTCCCGATTCATTCTGCGCGTCCCTGATGTCCGCGGACGTGTGTAGTGATGTGGAACTTGACAGACTAGGAGGCGGATCAGTAATGATATTGGATGGCATCACAATGACTGAACGAACTGACTGGCTGGTTAGTTTGTTGTTTAACGCCGCACTCAGCAATATTCCAGCTATATGGCGGCGATCTGTAAATAATCGAGTCTGGACCTGGCAATCCAGTGATCAACAGCATGAACATCCATCTACGCAATTGGGATACGATGACAACCAGGTCAGCGAGCCTGACCACCCGATTCCGTTAATCGCCTCTTACGACAAGCATGGGTTTCCGAAGACCAATTCTAACCCAGATGTTCACGGGTCCATTGTGCAAGGAAAGCACAGAGGACATGTAAGACTTGGGTAATTGCGGTGGTTGCGTAACAATAACGTCTCACGGTAAAAGGGATGGGCAAGTGTGTCTATTGCGCGAAGTGCTCCAGTCAAAGATGACACAACACAAAAAGACAGTAATAATATGTATTGAAATAAAAGGGTCTTGGTTTACAGATGTGCAAGTTCCGACTGCACAGTCCAGGTGAAACCTAAAAAACAAGTTGGCTTGTTGTCACCTCGACAGTGCAGGCAGAAAGAGCCATTGTACAGATACAATAATGAAAATCAACAATAATCCGACTGATATATAGGATGTGACGACAATACTTACTAGGGGCAACAATATTATTAAAGGACAAATAAATACAATATTGGTACAAAAGTATATGTGCATATATGAGCACACAATCCCAAAGAGTATTTACATAAATACCTTTAATTACATAACCCAAAAGAATCGTCACACCCCTCCTATCAGAGGATTTACATAGGGCCCCACCTGAGGTGAGGTGAAGGTCACATTAACTTTAAGGGCCAATGGGAAATATAAAAATACATATATATACACAAAGTGGGGCAATATCTATACCCAACACATTCGGAATATATGATGCAGAAAACCGGCTTTAATTGATATACACAATAGCCACGACAGGTCACCTGGCCTGTACGACACATGTGGCTAAGGGAAATGGGGTATGACTGCCTGTTGGATGATCATACTAGTCAATATGAGGCTAGCTCCAACAGAATGTCAATACACCCAGTAGGTACACCACTTGGGGCTACCCAGAATGAACACCTAATTGTAGTAAAATACATTGATGAGATGTAATAAATGGATATTACATGATTTACATTATTACAATTTGCAGGTATATTATTGGCCATATAATATAATACATTATATTATTATTGAATAAACTGTGACTTCACTTTCACATCAAGTGGGGAAACATACTAAAATATAATTGATGGAGTTGCACGGTACCGGTAGTCAATGCAATGTTAAGATAACCATGAAGCAGACGACGGACCCTAGTTTTGTTTACATCCGGTGCAGCCATTTTGTAATGGAGCCGGACGGGAGCCGGAGAATGCCGAGGAGAGCCGAAGACAGCCCAGGCTGTGTGCTGCTCAGTGGAGAGGTCAGCACTGGTCAGTGAGCATGACCGCCACTAATTGGTTCCAGCTGATACCGTGATACTCTAACTGAGCACATGGTTTGGTAACCGGGACAGTGATACAGCCACTTTTTAATTTAGATTAAAATGGCAAAAGAGTTCTGTTGTTAGCAGCAACAAGTTGTAAATAAATGGAATTTTGAATTTAGCAATGAGCTAGAGACAATTTTGACTGGCAGGTCAAATAAGCAAATTAATGCTAAACACACAAAGTACCTTACTAAAATGAATTTCTAGATGAAAATATATTACAATGAGTACATGTCATTTATTCTTGCCATCGAGTGCACGTTTGGACAGTCACAGATGAGTGACCTTTCGCCAGTTGGCACAGCAAGAATAATTGATGACAGTGACTCAACACTTGTTTTAATTGTGATTTATCAAATTAAAAAATACATTAATTTAAAAGCCGCAGATAATTACTTATCCTGCTAACAACATAATTATGCATTGGAATTTAGTACAGAAGACCTAGTTGCAATATGGAAGCAAACTGAGGTTCTTACCTAAAAAACAAGTTGGCTTGTTGTCACCTCGACAGTGCAGGCAGAAAGAGGAAGATTTCAGGCTTGGGGGTCCCACGCTCCCTCTTGCCCCTGTCATGTGACAACATAGCCCCTGGGGATTGGCTAAAAAAAACTGTTGCTATGGAACCCATAGCACCAGTGCCTTGAGCCCCAGAACCCTATCAGATAACTGGTAAAGGGCAGGATATTGGGTTACTTGTGCAAAAGACTAGGACAAAATATCCAGCCTTTACAGACAGAACTATTGGACCAACATACTGACACTATTTGTTGTCCCATGTGGAAGTCTTGTAGGTCAACGTTTTGTGTATTTCCACGACTCTCCGAGCAACACGACAAAATCATACTGCCATAATCATGATTGCAATCGGTACGGTTGCAAGATGCAAAATCAGTATGGGTGTAAGGTGAATGATTCAAAGGTTTTGTAATCAATGTTTTATATAGTATTGACAAGTATGCACGTGTATTTAATGTTGTATGGAAGTGGAATATGACTGATATGTGTTCTCAAGACCAACTGGCGGTCAAAGTTGCCTCTAATAAATCACTGTCCAGTTATATACCAGGTGAATTGTTGTCACACCTGGTCAGTTTGGCAAGAACATTGTGCTTTCAAGTTTGATGTAGAGATGCTTGTACCAAGTACAAAAGTCACAAAGGACGTGCATTGAAATGGGGTTTTAACAGACTCCAGGAGTGGTTATACGGTGGTGGAGAGTGGTGTGTGTGCAATGGAAACGCTTAGTGGTAGTAGAACTCAGAGCAGAATGTTTTCACGGCGACACTAAGAGGTTCTGCTTGTAGATATACAATTGTAGTAAACATTCAAAGAACTTCAAAGTTAAACGTGAAACAACGTAATGTCAACTCAGAAAATGGATTCTGTTCGGCATTTACGACAGATCTGACCAAATAACACTGTGACTGTTTTACAGGAGGCCCAATTGTATCAACTGTACATGTATGTGACTTGGTAGAAAAACACAAAGAACTCACATCAAAATGTTAGAAGGCTATAATGAGTGACGAAGCAAAATGTATTCTGTTTGGCATTTACTACAGATTTCTTCAAGTGCCATATAGAAACTCATATGAAGAAGAGGAACACTTTTTGTGGCTAGAGAACTTCACGTCATCAAGCAAATCATTGCATCTATTGTAATAAAGATGGTGTCTATCCATATAAAGTGTTCTTCTTCATTTACTCCAGTGAGTGAGTTTAGTTTTACGCCGCACTCAGCAATATTCCAGCTATATGGCGACGGTCTGTAAATAATCGAGTCTGGACCAGGCAATCTAGTCATCAACAGCATGAGCATCGATCAGCGCAATTGGGAACCGATGACACGTGTCAACCAAGCCAGCGAGCCTGACCACCCGATCCCGTTAGTCGCCTTTTACGACAAGCATGGGTTACTGAAGGTTCGTTCTAACCCGGACCATTTACTACAGATCTCAGCAAACATCACACTGATATTCAGGAAGCCCAGTAATGTATCGATTGCAAGGGACGAATTCTGTATAGTGTGTGCAGATTCAGAAGTTTGTCTATGATTATTCTGACGATATCCTCTATTGTCATCCTATTGTTTCTGTATGAGCACATTTTCTTGTATGTATTTCTTTCTGATTGCAGTGAGATTCTCAGCCAGAATAACTTGACAAGAATAAGAAAAGATGATCTCAAGCCATACGAAAGTTTGCAAGAACTGTAAGTATTGCAAGTGGTATTTATTGTTATTTTCATTTATTTCATAATCACATCATCGTCATCGTCATCATCGTCATCATCATCGTCGTCGCCGTCATCGTCATCATCATCATCATCATCATCATCACATTTATTACAATATATTGCCGCAATACCTTTTTAACTCATTTACCCATTCAATCACTGCTGATGTAAATCATCATCATCATCATCATCATCATCATCATCATCATCATCATCATCATCACATTTATTACAATATATTGCCGCAATACCTTTCTAACTCATTTACCCATTCAATCACTGCTGATGTAAATCATCATCATCATCATCATCATCATCATCATCATCATCATCATCATCATCATCACATTTATTACAATATACTGCCGCAATACCTTTCTAACTCATTTACCCATTCAATCACTGCTGATGTAAATCATCATCATCATCATCATCATCATCACATTTATTACAATATATTGCCGCAATACCTTTCTAACTCATTTACCCATTCAATCACTGCTGATGTAAATCATCATCATCATCATCATCATCATCATCATCATCATCATCATCATCACATTTACATGTATTACAATATATATCCGCAATACCTTTTTAACTCATTTACACATTCAATCACTGCTGATGTAAATTAACGGATTTCTCACCTCAGAATACACTTAAATACAGTTTATTAATCAAGTGGTATTTAATTTAATTTTCAGTGTTATAAAATACAGTGGTGTCCGGTTTATAGAAGATGGGGCTTTTGAAACAAATACACAACTGAATAAAATGTAAGTATTATAACTGTTTTACATTTCCTGTATTATAATTAAGATATGGTTTAAATTTGTATTCGCTGCGCAAACTCGACCTGCCGTAAATCGGGTACCGTGTGATCGTACATGCATTAAGTCGCAATAAGGCGATGGGACCGATAAGAAGCAGGGTAGGCCAAAGAAACCACGTAACTGTACACCTAGTTATCACCTTATAGTTATCCACGAGAGATAACACAGTGAAATCTGGAAACTAAATGTTTCGAATTGACAGTTAATTCTCCATATGCTGTCAAAATGTTTTATATCGTGACAAAAGAAGGCACTCACTTTCTAACTTAAACATCAGCGTATGGACCGAATTCACTGCCTGTCCATTGGCACAGAGGCGATTGGGTTATTATAGCTTAGTGGTTAAAGCGTTTGCCGAAGGCCCCGGTTCGATTCTCAAATATGAACAATGTGTGAAGCCCATATGTCTGAGATTCCCACCAGTAGTTGTGTTTAATCCTGCAATGTGTTGTTTTTTCTTTATTTTTGAAAGTTTTAAATCAGGTTTTTTTTCTGAAAAGGCAACACAAGTTGGAAGAATACTTTGAGTTCCAAATCTGTTCATTGCTTGAATTTAATATCGCTACCTTTACATATTTTCTACTGAAACCAAATATATGATAAAATATACTTTCAGATATAGCATTTATAACTCTTCCTTGTATGTATAGTAACATATGGTGTGCTAAAACACACACTACATCCCTTTCGATTTTGGTTTCTGGTTTTCTATTTAAACTGATTAAAACACCAATTACACACATCCTTCAGGCATGATTATTGAAATTATCGCTGTACATAGTGATAATACTAATCTATAACGATGTTCCAAGAAATCTGTCTCCAATGCAGAGACGTATTGTCGAAACATTCCTCCATGCCTTCCTGGTCAATACTTTTAAGTCTTCTGTTTTCAGCGACCTTGAACATAACAAACTGGAGACGTTCTCTCGATTCCTTGTGAGTCACCTGCATATCACTGAACTGTGAGTATTAGGACTGTAGTCTTCTATCATTAATGACACTGTCATTCCCGACAATATGACTTACGTATATTTTGAAGTTCCACTGTCAAAGTTGGTTTCAGATATAGCATTGATCTTTTAAAATGTGTATATATTTAATAGGTTGGCTCTGTCTCCTGGATTTAATAAAGACGCATCACTGTCAAGTTACAATGAAACTTCAGACAACTGTCTCCGATTTTCTGAGATAAGATTTCTGTGCACAAAACTGAGATGTAGCTAAAAATGTGACGTGTAAATTGTCACAACTAAAATATTCATTTTTTGTTGTGTTGTTGTTGTTTGGTTTGGGGTTTGTTTGTTTTTTCTTTTCTTTTTTTTTGTTTGCTTTGTTTGTGTGTGTTTTATGGGTTGTTTTTTTTGTTTTTGTGGGTGTTTTTTGTTTTTTTTTTTGGGGGTTGTTGTTTGGGGGGGGGTGTATGTTTGTTTGGGGTTTTTAGGTTTGGGGTTTTGGTTTGTTTGTTTTTGGGCGGGGTTGCTCTTCTTACTGTTTAACTCAGCAAATTTCCAGCTATATGACGACGGTCTGTAAATCATCGGGTCTCAATCCATATTTGACATCATCAACATCGATCTATAGAAATAGGTTACTATGACATGCATCAGCCAAGTCGGCAAGCCTGACCACCTGATCCCGTCAGTCTTGATAAGTATTGGTTGCTGAAGACCAAATATTATCCTGATCTTTTTTCGTACATCGATGTTCATTATGTTACCCACTGAATTGTCCGGCCCAGACTAGATTATTCACAGATGATGTTTAGCTGGAATATCGCGGTGATAAACAACAAAGGAGCACACTAACGAAAGCGTTCAAGGTATGATTGTTTAACATCAAATGACAGTTTTGTCTGACACACATTTGACTTTCCTCCAGGAACCTCAATGAAAATCCTCTGGTATGCAGCTGCAACATGCAATGGCTGAAACTAAAACAGAGATCTAAGTTCTTGGACAATCAACGGATCATGTGTATACAGGATGGGGCCATACGCCACGTTTCGGAGATGGAGAACCCGGATTGTGGTGAGAACTAGAGACCATTGAGACCGTATATAGTTGTTTGGGGGACGAAGGGTAGCTTAGTTGTTGAAGCGTTCGCTCGTCACCCCCAAGACCATGGTTCGAGTCCCAGCATGGGTATAATGTAAGCCCATTTGTGATATCGCTGGAATATTGATATTTGGCCAGTTTATCAGTCAGTCAGTTATAGTTTCTCGGCCTCTGCGTCTTGACTCTCATGTTTAATATCACTCTATGAATAGATCACTCTTATTATATCATGAGATCACTTATAATAAGATCATTTATAATAAGATCACTCTCATTTGTAATATGCACTGGTTGTAAGGATACGTCGTGAAGAACTGCGATATTCCATGTGGAGATTATGGTTTGGGGGTAGGTTGTGGAATGTAAGGATTGCTGTGTGGAAATATGATGTTGAATGAAGTGATTGCTGAATAGAAATATGATGTTGAATGAAGTGATTGCTGTGTGGAAATATGATGTTGAATGAAGGAATGGATGTGTAGGAACATGATGTTGAATGAAGTGATTGCTGAATAGAAATATGATGTTGAAGGAAGGGATTGCTGTGTGGAAATATGATGTTGAATGAAGGAATGGATGTGTAGGAACATGATGTTGAATGAAGTGATTGCTGAATAGAAATATGATGTTGAAGGAAGGGTGATTGCTGTGTATGAAATATGATGTTGAATGAAGGAATGGATGTGTAGGAACATGATGTTGAATGAAGTGATTGCTGAATAGAAATATGATGTTGAAGGAAGGGATTGCTGAGTGGAAATATGATGTTGAATGAAGGAATGGATGTGTAGGAACATGATGTTGAATGAAGTGATTGCTGAATAGAAATATGATGTTGAAGGAAGGGATTGCTGTGTAGGAATATGATGTTGAATGAAGTGATTGCTGTGTAGGAATATGATGTTAAAGGAAGGGTTGTGTAGGAATATGATGTTGAAGGAAGGGATTGTTGTGTAGAAATATGATGTTAAAGGAAGGGATTGCTGAATAGAAATATGATGTTGAATGAAGTGATTGCTGTGTAGGAATATGATGTTAAAGGAAGGGTTGTGTAGGAATATGATGTTGAAGGAAGGGATTGTTGTGTAGAAATATGATGTTAAAGGAAGGGATTGTTGTGTAGAAATATGATCTTGAATGAAGTGATTGCTGAATAGAAATATGATGTTGAAGGAAGGGATTGGTGTTAATAGATAATTACGGTTCAAGGAATGGTCGTGTAGACATGCTTCGTTGAGTACATGCATTTGTGGAGTGGAACAGCGATCTGATTGGATATCATGCTTTCATCACAAAGGACACAAACCATATTATACACAAGGTTCGGCCACGATGGAGCTAAGAAACGTTGCTTTTAAATGGCAAGAGTGGAACCTAAACTTTGATATAGTTTGGTGACACGCTTGCCGCGGGAAGATGATAGATTTATACTGTATACAGTAAGACTGACTGTTGCGTGTAGAAACAAAACCTTAAATGTTGATGCAGCTAGGACTTGGTGCTCAAGAAATAGGAGACTGAATGCTAAAAATGACAGATGACTGATCAGATAAGAAGATGCGAGAGAAATGACCTACGTATAATGAAGAAATGGAGAAAGTGAATGGCGCTCATTGAATACATACATATATGTATCTGTTATATAACAACATCAAACAGTAATTGACGTTTAGGTAATGCCACTGTGACGTCAGAGTAGCTTGTTTCAGCGTCTCTAGTGTTGGCGGCTGTTTGATTAGATGTAACTGGTTCAGTATCGTGACAGCAAGCAGGGTTGGTTCATTAATACTGCATGTCGAACAAAATAGACTGCAGATGTTTTGCCCATCCCATGATAACTCATTGGGTCAAAGACAGGGCAGATGCTTAGTGAGTTGTATTCATAAATAAATAAATGAAAAAAGACACCTCCGCATGTCCAGAGGATTGGGTATTTTTGTATGTTGTCCAATATTTGTAGACACACAGAAACAACGCTTTCATCCGGTATATATTAACAAACCAGAGCATTTATTGTTCTGTGAGATGTAGGCTCTCCTATAATCTTACTTCTTATTGTTCAGTGCTGTCTGAATAATACAATACACATGCCGAAATAATACCATGGTTTATGTTATCGAATGTTATCTCTGAATAACATGGTATTAGAAGTGTTTTCGTTGACTGGTAGTCTTAGAAAACCATTTGTTGAAATACTGGATTCTTTTAAACCCTTTTCTTTTTTTTTGTAACAGGCTTGAAAAAAAAGAACGTATATGTCAAAAACACTCTGTCAGACACTCTTTACGGGAAATGTTTTTCGAAGAAGTGACCGAATACAAACAAAATTTCGAACAAAAATTAGAGGCCCTTGGATTAAAATGATTTGGTTACCTTTCATGTTCAATTAAAAGCATGTTGTACTTGGAGATTATTTCATTGTAAACATCCTTAAATGAGGGTATCTGATTGTAAACTAAAGAATGTGAGTTTATGAGATTGAAATTTCAAGCAAAGTTATTAAATTCGATTAAGTCTTTGTTACCATTACTCATTCCAGCAAACGTTTGTAAAACATAAATGGTGGATTTGGGAATTTGGTGTAGATATATACAGTTTTATTGAAGTCTGTGGAAAGAAATTCATTTACAATGACATGTCATGATTGAACTCGCCAATTACGATTTGGGCCTATTAACTAAACTTGATGATCTTCAAAAACAAGGTGTATGAGAAAGCCATCAGCATTTTGTACTACACGAACTTTAAAAGTTATAAATCAGTATATATTTTTAAAAATAACATCATGCATAAGTATTTTTTTAGTGCTGGCTATACACTCTCGTAACAAACGTGAGATGATAATCTCTTTACAGACCACTGAGTGTGTGATTAAATTGTGTTTTATGCCGCTTTTAGCAATATTCCAGCAATTCCATAGCGGGGACACCAATAAATGTACACGTGCTTCACACATTGTACCGATGTAGGGAATCGAACCCGGAATTTTGGCGCTTTAAGCACTAAGCTATCCCAGAGAACCTTCTGAATTTAGACCAGTTTTCATTCATTATGATGTACAATTTGAAAACAGCGTACGAATACAAAGTCTGTGTCAATCGCCGCAGTTATTTTATAATGCCAACTTACTCTCATATGTTTTTCTTTTCAAAAGCACAAGATCCACTTTTGGGGAACGTTTAGATAAATGGCATTGCACTAAAGTGAAGATGTAATTAAAAGTAGTTCCTGATAATCTCATATGCATACTTATCGGATCCTGATGTCAACGTAATCCGATTCGTTGGTCCCACTGATCACTCCAGACATTATGTGACGAAAACATTGTCTCTGTATATTAATCAATTCCCGTTACAGAAACACCCCATGTATACGCGTCGCCCTCTGAAATATCAATCAACGCCTCGCAGGACGCTGTGTTCGTATGCAGAGGAATCGGAAGTCCTAAACCGGATGTCAGATGGAAATTGAAGAATCTCGTTTCTAACTACACGATCAGTACGGTCGAGGACACCGCCAATGAGACGGTGAAGGAATTGAGGGTGTGGAATGTCAGCTCCTCTGACCACAACAACCTCCCTCGGTGCATCGTGGAGAATGAAGTCGATAACGTGTCAGCTCAAGTTGAAATACTTGTCAATTGTAAGTTTGTTGTAATTTGGATGTTATTGGAGTTTTTTTGTTTTCGTAACACCCCACTCTAGGATTTCAGCAAAATGGCGGCTATCTGTAAGTAACCGGGTCTCGGTCCTCTTAAGTAGGTCACGGCACTTCGCGAGACCTTACATTGTTTAGTACTTCCGGTGACAAACAACGTTTTGAACAGATACTCATTGCAGGAATAACAAATTTACGATCTAACCATCCCCAAATTAGCCAACTATTACGACTGTCAACAGCTGTGACAGTCAAGCATGGTTGTACACTTGGCCAAGTCATATTTGGAGGTCTTGCTAGTGAGCTTTGTGGTAGTGAAAATACATTCTGTGGCCTTCGACATTGTTCCCAGATGCAGCTAATACCTCAAGCTAAGCTATGAGTTTATTGGCCATCAGTTCATCAGTCTCGCCCACACTGAAACACATGAATCCTTAGGGTTCTGCTAGTCTGAGATGGTAATGTGACTATCAACCTTCAGCTTTGATTGTATAAATCCCAGGGAGCTGAGAATGAGCAGATTGGTCAGTTGAAAGAGGCGGTAATGGTGCAGCACATTGGGCATGGACTAATGTATGGAATCCAGAGCATTATAGATACTCATTATCATGATTACGAATACTGCAGAATACGTGTGATGCCATGTAAATGGTTACGGGAAACAGAGAAATTAGGACCACATGCTATTTTATGTCTCAGTCTGAGGGGTATTTCCTACCTTAAGTCTGAAGGCAGTGGCTGAATCCGCTGGAAATCCGGGCAAGATAAATCGGATTTGTCCAGTGGTCTGCTCATGGTATTCGTGAAGACTTGGTGTCATCAATGATTTTCAGAAGTCGAATCACATAATTTTCTCCACTATTTTATGTTGTATCAAATGGAATTTGTTTCAGCAAATAAAACACTGGTTGTTCTCTAACATGGATGTTTTCTATATTCAATGGATGAAAGAAATCTTTGTTGTCTCCAGTCATCATATGGAAGGAATGAATATGAATAGTGTTAAACACCCTCACTAGTTATTATTAGTATTATAGTAGCACAAGTAAACAAAGAATCCGTAGAACATAGTAGAATCGCTTAAAGAAAGTATTTTATAGAGGAACAAATGGCACTAGTAGAATCAGTAGAAGCAGTAAAGCAAAGTACATGACAGTATAACAAAAAAACAAAAGAATCAGCAGAACATAGTAGAAACAGTAAATGAATATGGAAAGTGTAGAGAACCCTCACTAATTCCATACTTTGTCCATTCCAGCTGCTCCACGGTTGGAAATCACAAAGGTGAACATGACCATCAACGAAGCAACAGACCAGAAACTGAAATATGCAGTCCACGGCTGGCCCGAGTCTTCTATTCAGTGGTTGTTTAATAACAAAGTTCTGAACAGAAAGGGGATATTAGGCTCTAACTTCACGATCTATCCTGGCCTGGTACGGGGCTCTCTCGAATTTGAAACAGCGAATTACCACTACGGCGGAACGTATACCATCATCGTCAACAATACATATGGAATGGACCAAAGGAACATCTACATATCAGGGCATCAAAATAAAATACGTAAGTTACGAAGGCATGTCAATATGTGGCACGTGTCTTGCATTTCAAATTGTTTTAACGATGGTATATGTGTCATGGGAGTGGAGGTGTTTATGTGTTATGGTACTGTATGTGTTGATATGACACGGAAATATATGTATCTATGTGTCATGGATGTATTGGTTTATCTGTATCATGGATGTATGGGTCTTTATGTGTCATGGATGTATTGGTTTATCTGTATCATGAAAATATGGATACCTATGTGTCATGGATATATTGGTCTATCCGTATCATGGAAGCATGGGTCTCTATGTGTCATGGATGTATTGGTCTATCTGTATCATGGATGTATGGGTCTTTATGTGTCATGGATGTATTGGTTTATCTGTATCATGAACATATGGATATCTATGTGTCATGGATATATTGGTCTATCCGTATCATGGAAGCATGGGTCTCTATGTGTCATGGATGTATTGGTCTATCTGTATCATGGATGTATGGGTCTTTATGTGTCATGGATGTATTGGTCTATCTGTATCATGGAAGATTTGTGTTTATGTTCAGCTTGGAGGTAAATGTGTGTCTGGTGGTGTAACAGTATCATGGCAGTGTATTTGTGACGTAAAGTGGCCATGCTGACAGTGTGTTTGATGATGTCACGGTAAACGACAGTGTGTCTGTTGACGTCACAGGGCAATAGGCATGTTGATAACACAGTATAATGACAGTCTGTTTGTTGATATAACAGCATAATGACAGTGTGTTTGATCATGTCATTGTAAAATGACAACATGTTTGTGGATGTGTGTTTGTGATGTCCAGGACAGCCGATAATGATGTACAATGTAGTTTGGTTCTTGATTCACATTCTACATTTCCGCTTGTTTCTTCTGCAAGAGTTTCAAGCCCTGAAGCATAGTACCAATTACAGTCTAGACATTGCAATTAGCGAAGCATTGGAATTGTAGGCATTCTCAATATATGGCTAATCAACAACTGCTAGCCTTTTATAGTCCTGTGACAGAAAATTAGGCACTGATTGCTTATGTGTTGTCTGGAATGTTCGCATTTTAAACTAGTCATTATTTAGTGAAATCATGTAGTATCAATTTACTATCCAAATTAATGCAAAATTTACATGTTTCTTTGTGGTTCCCTTTGGAAATCATGCTGATATTTTCTCTATCAGCTCCTACTTTTACTCCCAAATGTCCAGTCTGCATATTGTAAGATCATATAATATTGTATAACACCAGGTGCCACAGCCAATGTTGAAGGTATAGTGTAATATTAGATTGTCCCGTGACACCATGTGGCCGTTCAAATTATTCTGTAGTCTGTATGTATAACCACTGAAGATGTCATTTTATAGCTTAAACATTCATGATCCATGACCCATGATCCCTTCACATGCTCATTCCCCGTATCAAGTCTTTGATTATGTTTTGAAACTACTATAGCTTGTTTCAGTCAGACCGGAACATTTCCTGCAAACGGACAATAGACTAGGAGTTTACAGTCCATGTAAATATATTCATGAAACTTTTTTTAAATTTTTGAATGGTGATAAAAGTGCGTTATAAAAGGCCGGAAGATATTTGTAGAAGTAGTTGAAAATAGTACACAATGTAGATTACTGTAGATCCACTTGGTAATGGTGGAATCAGTAGAATGTAGTAAAACCCTAAGACAACAGTAGAATCAGTAGTGACAAGAGTAGAATCTGTACAGCACAGTAGATTATTGCAAAATCAATAGATCAAAGTAAAAACAGCAAATAGGCCATCCAATAGATCAAAGTAGACACAATGAAGCAAAGTAGCACATAGAAACAGTAAAGCAAAGTATATCATAGTAGAACAAGTAGACAGATGAGAATCAGTCGAACATAGTAGACACAATGAAGCAAAGTATATTGTAGTAGTACAAGCAGACAATAGTAGAATCAGTAGCACATAGAAACAGTAAAGCAAAGTATATCAAAATAGAACAAGTAGACAGATGAGAATCAGTCGAACATAGTAGACACAATGAAGCAAAGTATATTGTAGTTGTACAAGCAGACAATAGTAGAATCAGTAGCACATAGAAACAGTAAAGCAAAGTATATCATAGTAGAACAAGTAAACAAGATTAAAATCAGTCGATTATATAAAGAAACAGTAAAGCAATGTAAATCATATTAGCACAAGCAGACAATAGTAGAATTAGTTAAACATAGCAGAAGCAGTAAAGCAAAGTATATTACAGTAGGACAAGTAAACAATAGTAGCATCAGCAGGACGTAATAGAAACAGTAACGCAAAGTATATCATAGTAGAACAAGTAGACAAGACTAGAATCAATAGTACATAGTAGAAAGAGTAAAGCAAAGTATATCATAGTAGAACAAGCCAATGATTTAGGCATATCATAGAACAAAGTAGACAAGATTAGAATCAGAAGAACAGAAAGAGTAAAGTAAAGGTTATCATAGTAGACAGGACTAGAATCAGTAGTACATTGTCGACACAGTAAAGGAAAGTATAGTATAGTAGAACAGGTCCCCAATTTTAGAATCAGTAGAACATGGTAGAAAGAGTAAAGTAAAGGTTATCATAGTAGACAGGACTAGAATCAGTAGTACATTGTCGACACAGTAAAGGAAAGTATAGTATAGTAGAACAGGTCCCCAATTTTAGAATCAGTAGAACATGGTAGAAAGAGTAAAGTAAAGGTTATCATAGTACACAGGACTAGAATCAGTAGTACATTGTCGACACAGTAAAGGAAAGTATAGTATAGTAGAACAGGTCCCCAATTTTAGAATCAGTAGAACATGGTAGAAAGAGTAAAGTAAAGGTTATCATAGTACACAGGACTAGAATCAGTAGTACATTGTCGACACAGTAAAGGAAAGTATAGTATAGTAGAACAGGTCCCCAATTTTAGAATCAGTAGAACATGGTAGAAAGAGTAAAGTAAAGGTTATCATAGTACACAGGACTAGAATCAGTAGTACATTGTCGAAACAGTAAAGGAAAGTATAGTATAGTAGAACAGGTACCCAATTTTAGAATCAGTAGAACATGGTAGAAAGAGTAAAGTAAAGGTTATCATAGTACACAGGACTAGAATCAGTAGTACATTGTCGAAACAGTAAAGGAAAGTATAGTATAGTAGAACAGGTACCCAATTTTAGAATCAGTAGAACATGGTAGAAAGAGTAAAGTAAAGGTTATCATAGTACACAGGACTAGAATCAGTAGTACATTGTCGACACAGTAAAGGAAAGTATAGTATAGTAGAACAGGTCCCCAATTTTAGAATCAGTAGAACATGGTAGAAAGAGTAAAGTAAAGGTTATCATAGTAGACAGGACTAGAATCAGTAGTACATTGTCGACACAGTAAAGGAAAGTATAGTATAGTAGAACAGGTACCCAATTTTAGAATCAGTAGAACATGGTAGAAACAGTTATGTTAATTTTATCATATTAGAACAAGTAGACAGGTCTAGAATCAGTAGTACATGGTAGAAAGAGTAAAGTTAAGTATATTATTGTGGCACAAATAAGCAATTGTAGAATCAGTAGGACAAAATATAGGATTTCCATTTAACAGTAGTGGAATCTGTAGATCATAGTAGAATCAGTAGAACACGGTAGATGAAACAGTTCAACAAGTAGATTAGTCGTTGAATGCCACAAACCCCTTTTTACCTTTCCTCTTGCCCTCTTCAGACTGTCTGCCTCTTGTTCAATAACACCATTAGGCTGTCTCTCACTCCTTATCCTAGTGCTGTATACATTTATTTCTTTAGTATCATGAGGATGTCCTCTGCTTGACCTGTACATCATGCAGACAACGGACATTCAGTGTCTGAATTGATTAAATTAGACGTTCAAAGCCGTAAATCCTATAGCAGGGAATGTTTAGTCTGGAGATTTGTTGCCATAGCAACTGATTAATTCCGAACACCTAGTGTAAAAGTAACATTAGTGCCTTTGTTGCTGTTCGAACATTTTTGGCCCCGATTTCTCGAAACAAACATATGTCTTAGTTTTGACTTAAGTTAGAGTTTTTACTCAAATTTGAGAAAATGCATTTCACAGAATGAACTGAAATTGATATTAAACTCAAACATAGCAGACAATTTGAGTTTGGTGGATAGATCACTTAAGTTGATTGGGCTTTTTTATTTAAAAAATGCGTTTAATTTAAGAATTCAGTTGTTTTAAATTGTCAAACTCACTTTGAAATTTGAGTAAAAACTTAAGTTTGTTTCGAGAAATCGGGGCCTAATGTTTGAAGAGCATCACTAACACAGGATCTATGGCATGGCTTGGTGCATCATTCAGGAGCGATCCCACTTGTCAGGTTGTCGATTTAATCCTTGACTATGAATACTTACGAACTGCTCCACCAGGTGGCTGTCACAATTATTAAAAACATAATCTGGAACTATTTTCCAACGTTAAACTATGAGATGGATCACTCCGCGTACGGTTCGTAACAATATGTTACATTCGTGACAAGCTCGTGTTATTCCGGAACAAGCCGAATAGCTTCTTGGAGGTTACGGAAAGGAGCGAGTGGTGACGAATGAATATGTTATTCTTTATAACACCAAACCATAATGTTTGGAATGGCTCGGGCATGTACATATAAATCCCCAACTCTCCATCTATAGACAAACGTGTGCAAGTATGTTATTATTTTACGAGAATGCTTAAGTCGCAGTCCTGGTTGCCATATTAAAAACAGCCGAAGAAAACAATCTGTGAATTTCTGTTTCTTCACGTTTTGTGACAATGGCTTGTGTACTTTTATTCTTCCTTCTGTTTATATTTATAACATCCCTTTTTTACAAATATTTACGGTGATTTGTTTGTTATTAAGTAGATATTATCTATCCTTTGGAATACGTTAATATTATTTATGGAAATAATTATCAAATTTCTGTTATACATGGGCATATATTGTAACACCATTTTTAATGACTTTTTCATAACTAATGACAGTTTTTGTGTACTTAATCTTCTGTTTTGTTTTATGACATTGATATCCGAGCAGATGAAACAAGAATATGTTTTTATCTCAGATAGGGTAGAGATGGCCCACTCTTTTAACGTGACGCAATTTGCCTCCGGTCGTGGTGTGAAACTTGGCATGCCCCACATTGTTCCTAGGTGTATCAACACCATACCTCTATATCTATGGGTTTCACTCATGGGTTTCACTAATGAAACCTGCTTCATTTCAGGCTTTTGTTATGTAGCTGGAACACTGTTAAGAGCGGCTACGAACACAACTTACGCAATTATGGTGATATTTTTCTTTAAATTTCAGGGCACCCTGAAAGACCCCACCGTTTCCCGAACCCAAAACCACCCTCCCGGCCCAAAGTGACAAGCACTTCACAGCCCAAAGTGAAGAATACGGACGACTTTAAAATAGTAAGAGGCGATGTCATACTGAATGTATTCACAAATTAATGTGTGTGTATTCTTGTTTTGTTTTCACTTAATGCGACATTCCGTAGTATACAAGGGGACAAAGCACAGGTTCTCTGATCCGGCCACAACTCCGTAATTCCGGTCGAGGAAATTAAACTGTTATAGTCAGTTAACTCCCTTGCTTTGGGTTTAAGTGGAATGGGCACTACGGTGCTAGAATGATGTGGTAACTGATACCATGATAATTCCCCTTCCAGACTGTCATCGTAACAGCATCTGCTACAGCAATCATCCTGGCGTTCACAATAACGCTCGTCGTTTGTGTACGTCGGCACAGAAGAAAGATCAATCGCCAGGCCACATTCCATAATCGGAACAAGGGGGTCATGGGGCCGAAGGTCACCAAGGGCGGACTACTCCTGGAAGCAGCACCTCTCAATAGTCTTCATTTGATTGAAAACCCTAATTATATGCAGAAAACTGCTTACAGGAATAATTCAAGTAGGTGTATATATGATGTGATATTTGACAGAAATGAGACACAAACTTCAACTATATGCACAGGTGCCAGTGTGCTATGATTGGGTTTGCAATATCATCCCAGTGTTCCAATATCAAGACTATTTGTAAATTAATCATTGACTTCAGAAAAATATGTACTGATTAATAACAGTCGCTTTCAAAATTCACAGTTCCTTTAAATATATTTATGCCATAAACTTCTGGCTTAGTAAACTTCAAATGATAGACATAGCTAAATCCTGATTCACCCATGCCAGACAAATGGTTATCAGATTTGGTGTGTTCATATAAAACCGCTACTATATGCTAAAAGCGGTGTAAAACCATATTCACATATTAATAGTGTCACATTTAACCTTTCAGCACTGAGAACTATTCGACCAGAAACAATCTGTTTTTTGCGAGAACTCGGAGAAGGTGCGTTTGGACGCGTTTATCTTGGAACATGCACTGGGCTTGTTGAAGAAGGGGAAGTAACTCTCATCGCAATCAAGACTCTCAAAGATGCAACAAGTGAATCCGTGATGAAAGACTTTGACAGAGAAGCAGAGCTTCTGGCTAACCTCCAACATGACAATATTGTGACGTTTTATGGAGTTTCCCAAAACAATGAGAACTATATGATGATATTCGAGTTCATGTCCAATGGAGATTTAAATAACTATTTGAGGTAGGAACTTTTTATATTTTTCATTAAAGTATGAACTGACACTGATCAAGCCCTTCAACATCAACATATTTGTTTTGTAACAAGTACATTATTTGTATGTTGCTTAACGCCGCACTCAGCAATATTCCAGCTATTTGGCGGCGGTCTGTATATAATCGAGTCTGGACCAGACAATC